CTTTGAGCAAGAAGCCCGCATGCGAAACATCTGCATCGCTACCTCGGAGAAGGTGGGGCGCTCCATGAACAAGAAGACCTACGACGGGGTGGTCCGGGCTCTGCTGCAGAAGCCCAATGCCAGAGTGGTCGTGCTCTTCACTCGCAGTGAAGACGCCCGGGAGCTGCTGGCGGCTGCCCAGAGAGCCAATGTGTCCTTCATGTGGGTGGCCAGTGATGGGTGGGGAGCCCTGGAGAGCGTAGTGGCCGGGAGCGAAGCGGTGGCAGAGGGAGCCATCACCATCGAGTTGGCAGCCTACCCCATTAAGGAGTTTGCTGCCTATTTCCTTAACCTCCATCCCTACAATAACAGCCGAAATCCCTGGTTTCGGGAATTTTGGGAACAGAGGTTTAAGTGCAGCTTCCACACGCAGGACTGTAGCCGGTATTCCCTCAAGGCAGGCAAGTTTGAGCCGGAGTCCAAGATCACGTTTGTGATCAATGCTGTCTATGCCATGGCTCACTCTCTCCACAACATGCACCGGGCACTGTGCCCCAATGACACCAAGCTCTGTGATGCCATGAAGCCCGTCAATGGCAAGAGGTTCTACAAGGACTTTATTCTCAATGTCAATTTTGACGGTGAGTCCAAGGTGGAGGTGGGGTTTGGCTGCCAAAGTGGAAAGAGATGGGTGGTGGGACAGGAAAGACGGAGACCCAAATTTGACCCAAGACCCTCCAGTTCCTCCAGCCTGCCCACACCCAGGGACCTGTGTGCCATGGGCTGTGGTTGTCCCAGGCTGCCAACAGCCCACCATCATCCTTGGGCCTTGTGTCCCCAGTGGAGACATGTGTGGAGAAGCTGGTGAACAATTCCATCCTGCTTCAGCTGGATGGGACCCGCTCCACAAGGAACCCTTCCTTGGAGCGTTCGCTTGCAAGTGTTGTGATTTATTCACATTTCAGGGATTAAAATGAAGGGATACCCTTGATCAGGGACTCACATAGTTTGGGGTGAATTAGAAACATGTCCTCTATGACTTGGGCTGAGCCTGGCTATTCAGGTGTCACTGAGCGCCATGCAGGGTGCACAATTCCCCTCCTTGCCCCTGTAGAGCTGACTGGGGCTGACAGCCTCTCAGGCAGGTGGGGAGATAGTTCTCCACCTTTGCTTTCCTGCTCCTAATATGTACACAGGCAGCAAGGATGGGACTGAAGGCAAGAAACAGATTAGACATTAAATTGTGGCCATGATGGGATGTGACCCTTTGAAGGAGCCCTGCCTCCAGGCTGGGAGCAAGTGTTCTCCTGCCTCATGGCAGTGACAATCTCCCCTTGTCCTCTCTCCAGCTCCGTTCAGGCCAGCAGACACGGAGAGTGTTGTTCGATTTGATCGCTATGGTGATGGGATTGGGCGCTACAACATCTTCAACTATCACCACGTGGACGGGCGGTATCGGTACCAGAAAGTGGGCTACTGGGCAGAGGGGCTCATCCTCGACACCAGCCTAATCCCGTGGGCTGAGGCCTCCATCCCTGTGTCCCAGTGCAGTGACCCCTGCAAAAAGAATGAAATCAAGAGCATGCAGCCTGGAGATATTTGCTGCTGGATCTGCATCCCCTGCCAGCCCTATGAGTACTTGCTGGATGAGTTCACCTGCATGGACTGTGGTCTTGGTTACTGGCCCAACGAGACCCTGAATGGCTGCTACGAGCTGCCCCAAGAGTACATCCGCTGGAAAGATGTCTGGGCCATTGGTCCCGTCACTATCTCTTGTCTGGGCTTTATCTCTACGCTCTTTGTTATCGGAGTCTTCGTGAAGAATAACGACACCCCCATTGTGAAGGCCTCTGGCCGGGAGCTGTGTTACATCCTCCTGACCGGAGTCCTCATGTGCTACAGCATGACCTTCATCTTCATCGCGAAGCCCTCCACCGAGGTGTGCACGCTCCGGCGCCTGGGGCTGGGCACGTCCTTCGCCGTCTGCTACTCGGCCCTCCTGACCAAAACGAACCGCATCGCCAGGATCTTCAGCGGGGTGAAGGAGGGGGTCCAGCGCCCCCGGTTCATAAGCCCCACGTCACAGGTGGTCATCTGCATGGCCCTCATCTCTTGCCAGCTCATCATCGTCATCATCTGGCTGCTGGTGGAGACCCCCGGCACAGGCAAGGAGACTGAGCCTGACAAGAGGTACATCGTCACCCTCAAGTGCAACAACCGCGACTCCAACATGCTCATTTCGCTCACCTACAATGTCCTCTTGATTGTCCTCTGCACGGTCTATGCCTTCAAGACACGGAAATGCCCTGAAAACTTCAACGAGGCCAAGTTCATTGGGTTCACCATGTACACGACCTGCATCATCTGGCTGGCCTTCCTGCCCATCTTCTACGTGACCTCCAGCGACTACCGTGTAAGAGCTTGAGCTTTGGGGGGCTCTAATAGGGCTTGATCTAAGTGGTCCTGGAGATTTGGGCCCCGTGGGGTTTGTGATTTGGAGATTTGTGGGCCTGGGGAAGGGTCTTCATCCGTACACCTCTGCACTGATGGTCACCTCTGCACTGGGGCATTCGGGACCAGGTGAAAGATCTTGAAAGGCTGTGGCTGAGGGGGTAATGAGTCCTGGAGAGAGGACCCACTCCCTTCCACTTTGCTAGGGTGAGGATGGAAAATGGCCCTGAGACCTCCAGAGAGCCCCTCAGCTGATCATGGAGGAGTGATGTGTCATCCTTCAGCCTTGTGACATGAAAGCATGAGTCACTGGCCCATCCAGATGTCTCACCCCAGGGCATGAAGGTCAACCCCAGGGCCAGCATGGTCCCTGGGGAGCTGGACAATGCCAGGGACTAGAGAGCACAGGATGCACCCTGCAGCACCTCAGGCTCCCTGGCAGGGCAACCAAACATGTTTCTGACAGGCCTTGAGGACTCGGTGGGGGCAGCTACAGCCGTGGGCTTCCAGAAAGGATCTGCATCCTCCAGAGGGAGTGGGCACTGGGGTGGGGGGTTCTGGGCTCTGCCCCCAGGCACTGTACCAAAGCAGCATGTTGGCAGGGCTGGGATGCTGCTCAGGGTGTACCTGCTTTGCAGGGGTGACATGATCCCAAAAGGGTATTCCCCATCTTCTGCCCATGGGTCTGACAGAGGGATGTGGTGTGGTATGGGGTGGGATGTCCCTGCAGGGTGGAGTCTGTGCCCAGTGGGGCTGGCCAGTGCCACTGGGGCTTCATCCTGCCCTCCGTGGGGTAGACGGTTCGTGGGTGGAGCACCTGATGCCCCCCACTCTGTCTCCAGGTCCAGACCACCACCATGTGCATCTCAGTGAGCCTCAGCGGCACCGTGGTCCTCGGCTGCCTCTTCACCCCCAAGCTCCACATCATACTCTTCCAGCCGCAGAAGAACGTGGCCAGTCACCGCGTGGGCACCGCTCGGTTCAGCGTGGCAGCTGCCAGCTCCAGCCAGTCCCAAGGTGAGCACAGTGAGGCTGGGGAAGGGCTGGGGGGGCAGCATCCCCTTCCTGGTGGGGGTGTGTGTGGGAGTACCCCAGCATGGGCTCCTGAAGGAAAGTGGAGGGTGGGGTAGGGCCTGATGGGAAGTGGGGAGGATGAAGGATGCTGTGTCCCCAGCAGCTCTTCCCTGTCCCTTGTCCCAGTGCCTCATCTCCCAGGACAGCACAGCTGCCAGAGGGGTACTGCTCCTGGGGGCATGTCATTGCTCTGAGGGAACATGGCCATCCCCCAGCACTCTCCACCTCAGTCCCAGGGGGACATAGCCACTCCAGGCACCCTCCACCCCAGCCCAGGGGATTCAGCTGCCCCCAAGTGCCTGTCACCATCCCAGGAACCCTCCACTTCACCCCCCAGGGGCTATGGCCACCCCTGGGCACCTTTCATCAGCCAGGGGGTAAAATGGTCACATTGGGTACCCATAGCCCACTGCAGTGGGGTGCTGTGAGGTGCTGCTGCCAGACCCCAACCCACCCCTGACTGCTGCCTTCCTGGCCAGGCTCAGCCTCGCAGTACGTGCCCACGGTGTGCAATGGTCGCGAGGTGGTGGACTCCACAACGTCGTCCTTGTGAAGGATGGGGGGGCCAGGCTGTGGTGCTGCCACACGGCACCTCCCCAGGGAGAGCAGTGCCCACAGCATGGCCCGACCGGGTGCCGAATGCAGCCGGGAGGCTCAGCCCCTGCCCCAGCACGAGCTACACATCCCACCTGTCAGGTCATGGTACGTGTCACCCTTCCCTTGCACCGAGCCACGTTACATGTCCTCTGCACCCTGCACTGAGCCATGGTGAACATCCTCAACCCCTGCACTGAGCCGTGGTGAACATCCCCAAGCCCTGCACTGAGCCACGGCGCATGTCCCTCTGTGTCACCTGCACTGAGCCACTGTGCTCCCCCACCCCCTGCACTGAGCCATGGTGAATGTCCCTGTCCCTTGCACTGAGCCGTAGTGCACATTGCACGGACCTTGCACCAAGCTGTGGTGTGTGACCCCCATTCCCTACACCGCCTGTGGCACAAATACCCCCTTCCTGTCCCTTGCACTGAGCCCTGGTGCACAACGTGACTCCCTCTCGCAAAGCCACATTCCAGCTCCTGCTTTTCTTGTGCCAATCCACGCTGCACCTCCTGCTCCCTCCACGCCGAGCTCCATGCTGGCACACACTGCCCACCACGCTTTCCCTGTCACCCTGTGGCAAGCTGTGCTCCACGTCACACTTTTCCTGGCGCTTCGTAGTTTCACTTTTCCTCCTGGTTTGGGCCCAGCAGAGCTGCCAAGCGTGGCTGGGCTGGGCCCAAGCCCCCCATCACTCCCCTCCCTGTGAGTGGCACTTCTCACCCCTGTATGGGAGACGGGGCAGGAGCAGGGGCGGATGAATTCCCGCTGGCCCCCAGCCCTGGCAGATCCCAGAGGGGCCGTTGGAGGCTCAGGGCGAGTAACGGGATCCAGGTATTTGAGCCCAACCACGTTTTTAAGAGTAGATATTTTTCTGTGAGCAAGAATGTGATTTTTTTTTTTTTTTGTAATTTATGTAAATAAAGTCGTTTTGGTGGTTTGTTTTTTTTACAAAATGGACTGTTCCAGAGCTCAGGTCTGGCCGAACCTGAGGGAAGGGGACAGACCCTCGCAGAGGGCAGAGCCACATCACAACACGGGGGCCAGCAAGGCTGTGTGACACCCCCTACTCACATCCTGCCAGCCCCAGGGGGGTGGCTGCACCAAGGATGCATCAAGGTGCAGCTCCAGGGACAGAATGACCTGCTTCACGACCCGGGGGCTAGGAGCTGCCAGGAGATTCAGGGCCAGAGGCCGTGGCTCTCTGTTTAAGGGGGATGATGCAGATGCTGTTTTTGGCTTCTTTGATTCTCCACCACCGTCCAAGCCTGCGGATGAGAGAGATGAGGGTCACACTCCAGCAAGCACCAGAGGAAAGGGGGCTGCACCCCCAGGCAGCGCCAGGGAGGAGGTCAGTACCGGTGCTCCTGCCCGATGCCAGCCACCAGGAAGTCACCAGATGATGAGAACTTGAGGCTGTTGACAAAGCCCACCTGGAGGGGACAGGGTAGGGTGAAGGGACAGAGCAGGTTAAGGGGATCCCATAGCCTCCTCCTGCTGTCCAGGGAGGGGAGCCCCTGCAGTGAGACCCTCCAGCCCAGCTCCAGCATTCCCAACCTGCCCATCAATCCATACCAAGGGGATGTCCCAGAGGTGCTCCAGCTTCCGAAATCCCTCACCACACTTCCAGAGCTTCACGCTGGCACTGTGGGATCCTGGGACAGAGAAAGGAGATTGTCACGGACCCCAACCCAGGGATGGGAGGAGGACCTCCCCCACACCCTCAAAGTGGCTGCCACACACCTGTAGCCAGGAGGTCACTGTTGCGCAGGGCGGCCACCGCTGAGATCCAGTAGGGCTGCTCCAGGCCCTGGGCATCCTGCATGCCGTGCGCCTGCCGAGCCAGCGCCAGAGGCTTCTTCTTTGTCAGCCCCCAGAGGGCTAAAGACCTGACGGGGACATGAGGGGTGAGGGGGCTGAGGGGGCACCCTGCCCACCCCTGGCACTGCCCCAGCCCCGTGCTCACCCGTCATCGGCGCCGGACACCATGTGCTCCTCATTGATGAGCTGAATACAGTCGATGGAGCCCCTGTGAAGAGAAGGGGTAACTGTCAGCAGTTACAAGTGTGCTTTGGGATCCTGTTCAGATGTGGGCTCGCCAGGGTATCAGCATCCCCAGGGTGCTCCCCGAGATGCTTGGCAGCCACACACCACTGCCCCAGCTGGGCATGCCTGCCCACAGCTTCCTCTCCCACCCCAGACCTACTGGTGCCCAGAAAACACGAGCTGTGTCTCCTCAGGGATCTTCCAGAGCCGCACGGTACCATCCCGTCCCCCCGCCGTCACACAGCACTCCCGGCTCAGGCTGTCCAGCCCCGTGATGACATCCTGGTGCCCGAATCTGGAGGAGGAGATGGCAAAGAGACGTGGCAAGCATGGCCCTCTGCCCCCTCACCTTGCCTCCCCCAGGGATGCTGGCACACCCTTTGGCAGGGTCAGTGGGATCCCCCCGGCCTTACAGGGTCTCCACATAGGCGTTCTCTGCCACGTTCCAGACTTTGACGCAGCGGTCATGGGAAGCGCTGTACAGCTGGTGTGTCCCCTTGCGGAAGGACAGGCCCTGCAGACAGACAGATGGACAGGGCACAGCAGTGAGGGAGGGGTACCAGGGAGGATGGGGCTGCCCAGCCCCACAGGCATCACAGGCACCACACCTGATGCCCCTGACTCACCGAGACAGCGTCACGGTGCCCTGTGAAGATGTGCAGGCGCTTGCAAGTGGCTGTGTCCCAGATCATGATCAACTTGTTCCTGTCTCCTGTGGCCTGGCAGACAGCAGGGGATGCCCAAGACCTGCCTCTCAGAGACCCATGGCCCACCCCAGCCTCCACTCCCATGCCAGCCTCCATTCCCACCCCATATGATTTCGGGTGATCCCGGGGACCCATCCTTAAATCTGCAGCGGATAGGGGCTGCTTTAACCGGGCAAGGCACATCTGGGCATGAGACACAACCCACAGGACCCTGGGAGGAGATGCAGTCCCCATGGCCACCTCTCTGTCCCCTGTCCCCGTACCAGGTACTTGTCATCCGATGAGATGGCCATGCAGAGGATGTGGGATGCGTGTCCCATGTGCCGCTCCTCCGTGCCCTTCTTCCCCCCGGGCACCACGCACAGCCTCTTCCCGCTGTCCACCTCCCCTGTGGGAAAGGTACGGCCACCATCACCCTCTGGGAGCCTCCCACCACTCCCAAAAGTGCTAATGAGCCTCCAACGAAGCCCAGAACCATTCCCAAAAGTGCTAACGAGCCTCCTACAGATCCCAAAACAATGCACATTCCCAGAGCAGCCAAGGGCTAAGTCACCACCACAGGCACCCACAGCCCTGATGCTGCAGGGTCCCCTGCAGAACAGCCAGTTGCAGCCTCAGGTGAACACTTGCATTTGATGAGGGAGCCGTCCTTGGACCCAGAAAAGATGAACTTGTCATCGGGAGAGATGACCAGGCAGGTGACAGGCAGCTGGTGTCCCCGCAGCACACGGATGCTGGCTGGATCCGGAGGCTGCACCTGCAGGGAGAGTGGGATGTGAGCTGGGCTGCCCCGGCCCCTTCCCCAGGCTTGGGAGTACCCCAGCACGGCACTGTGGGCAGGAGAAGGGCCGCGGGGTGCTGGCCATGCCCGAGTGTCCCCCAAAGCTGGCACTTATGGTCTGGCACCGGGCACTTACATCTTTGGCGACCAGGCGCTGCAGCCGGCCCTTCTGCTCGAGCTGGGGGAGAAGTGGGAGGCTCAGCGGAGGCGGCCCCAGCCCCGGTCCCGCGGGAGGGGCCAACAGACACACACCGGTGACCGCGGGGCCGCGACCGCCCCGCCCGCTTTCGACACGTCCTCCTTCAGTCGGTCGCCGATGAAGATCCCCGGCTGGGTTTCCTCCTCTCCTCCTCGCCCGTTCCTCCTCTGCCGCTGGACAGTGCGTGAGAGCCGAGCCCAGTGCCCGGGCGCCCCCGCCCGGGCACCGGGGCCGGGCGGGACTACCGCAGCCTGGCGGAGCTCCTCCAGGTAACTGGCTCTGGCCCAGGCGCAGCTTCTTCTCCTGCGGCGTCTCCTCACTCCTCCTCCGCCGCCCGCCGCCTCTCGCCGCCGCCGCCCCAACGACCAATGGCTTGCGGGGACACTGTGTGCGTGAGCACCCCCGGCACCGACACCCTCCGGTACCAGGCACCCACCTCCAGCACCGCAACCTCCTGGTGCATCTCTAACCTTACCCGTCTAAAGGAGTCGCTGGACACCTCCTCGTCGGCGGCCGGCCGGCCGCGCCCGCTCTCACCCTGGGCGTTCGGACCTGCGGGACCGGGCGGATCAACACGGGACGGGCGCGGCGAAACGCGCGACGGCGGCCACCCCGCCGGGACAGCCCCCTCGCCCCCCTCCTCCCTCCCTCCCCTCCCTCCCTCCTTCCCGTGCCGGCCCTCACCGCCGGGCGCTGCCGCCGCCGCCCCGCGGCCCCGCGCCGGGGCCTTGGCTTTTTTTGTTCCCCTGCCGCTCGCCGCCGCCGCCGCCGCCATGCTGCGGGACACGTGGGGCCGCCTGCCCGCCCGCCGGCACGGGCCCCGCCCCCGGCAGCGCCCCGGCTGCAGGCGCCGGCCCCGCCCTCCGCTTGGCCCCCCTTGTCTCGGAATCGCCTTCCCGCCCTCCCGCCCGGGCGGAGGCGTGCGTCACTGCAGCGGTGAGGCCCCCGCCCTCTGAGATAAGAACCACGCCCTCTCAGCTTCTTTAGCCCGCCCATGCGAGATAAGCCCACCGCCGCGCGTGTCGGCGACCCGCAACCCCGAGCCCGGTTGTCACACCCCTAGCCCTCCCTCCTCTGCCCCCCATGGCTCCTCGGGCCCTGCCCCGCAGCCCCCGTCGCAGCTGGTGGCCCCCAGACCTAGAGTCGCGATGGCGGTGACAGGGAATGGGTGGCTGCTTCCCAAATCATGGTCACCTTCTGCCTCTCAGGGACCCTCAGCCAGGGGGGCACGGCCTCTGGTCCCGTCCCGTGTTCTTCAGGGGGTCTCAGGGACCCGTCCTTGGCTGTGCCGGGGTAGTGCCTCTCTGTCTGGGAGAGGTGATGCTCTAAAGAGCTAAAATCTGTTTTGGGGCATAAACTTTATTTTACACAATCAGCTTCTTTTCTCCTTGGCACTAATGGAGGCAGGGAAGGACAGCGGGAATGTCCTGCACTGGTCTCTGTAAGGCGACAGGCTTAGGAAGGGAGCAGCTGTCTGGCTGCTCTCTGGAAGATTCTGGCTGAGGTCTCTTCTGTCAGATTTCGGGAAGAGCAGATCCCCCAACCTGCAGAGCATCCTAGGGCTCAGACTGCTGCTTTCTTGTGCCCCAGCAGAGTCCTCGCTGGAGAAGCTTACTGAGCAGCAGAGATGCCACAACCACCACCATCAGGGACACAGTGGCAGTGCTCAGAGCCTGTCCCAGCCCGTGCAGGTAGATGCACCAGCTGGGGAATGATGTTATTCCCAGGCTCAGCACCCCAGGACATACAAGGGGAGCCAATCTCTCTGGCTGGGGCTACAAAGTTTTGGCCTTGGTGGCCCCAGGCTGCTGCGGAGCTGTTGTCCAGGCTGAGGCTGCAGGAACCCATGCCAGGGGCGGTCTGGAGGCAGATAGATGGGCAAGGACTCACCACCCCATCCATCCAGGCAGCAGGTGCAGAAAGGCAGCAGTGGGCAGGGAGGGGGCTCTGCCTGGGGACTCAGCAAGCTGGACCTCAGGGGGACACATCTGAAGGGTCCAGTGCCAGCACTGCACTACCCAAAGGACCGGCTAGGTGGGGAATCCCATCCTGGCCACGCTCTTGTCCTGGTCGTGCAGGTGAAGGAGCAGCGGCAGCAGTGCAGGGCTGTCCCGCACCTCCTTTTTCATCAGCTTCATCTCAGCCATGAGGCCCATCACCACTCGGAAGAGACGGATGGAGAGCTCCCCCACGGTGTCCGACTCCCTGGGGAGGAGGGAAGGAGGACCTCAGGCAGCTCTGCTCCAGAGGGAAGCGGAGCTGCGGCACTGCAGGTCTGCCATGGGGTCCTTGGGGCTGGCGGCTGGAGAGGAAGGCCCTGCGGAGGGCCGGGGGCTAAGGGTGGGT